AGTACCTCTTGCCGTTAGGCGAGGGTACTAATGGACATACGTTATCTTTTATTTCATGGCTTCTGATAAGAATTAAACTTCTTGCATTGTTGATGCAAACAGTTGTGACCTAGTGTCGTCATGTGGACTTTTCCACAAGGTATGTTGGACAGCGTTACCCCGATTAATTCGGGGTGGTGGCGGGAATTTAATGCCCGGGATGTCGCGCAACTGCCTTTGTGGGTTTGCTCCACCGCTGACGGCGGTAGTGTCCAGCTGTTTGCGGACGCATGCGAGCAGTTAAATCCTATCAGTAAATGGCACGCTCCACCCGTCATATGACGGGCTCCTCGTGAGGGGGGTGTGATTAGCCATGGTTCATATCATCATCAGGGACGTCGCGTTAGTGACCGACCTGTGGTGTTTTGGCTCAAGTTTTGGATCCGGCGCGCCTCGGATGAGCGTCGCCGGGCCCTCACGTCGACCGCCTTCGTGTCGGAGGAGAAAGAGACTTCGGCCCGGGGTAGGTTGGTGGGGATCGCCCGTGCGGTTCATCGTCGATCTAGGTTGCGGGTATCCTTTTTCTATTTTGGTTTGATTTCCTTTGGTTGTTGTTCTCTGGTGTGTGGGAAACCCTGATCTTTGGGACCGGGGATTGGTTTGCTTTTGGGGAACCTTTCTTTTGTGGCTTGTTTACCCCAACTAACCCATTGCCTGGGCACAGGCTCGTGCCCGAATCACATTAGAATTTAAATAGATTCCAGTACGGAAAAGCAATCTGGTTGTAAAGGAGTGACAAACCAACAGATGCGCAAGGAATCTAAGAAAGAGAAACAAGCTTGTTGTTTCTTCTAATTTTCAGTTTTTCAGTGAACGCCAATGGACAATGTAAACTCTATTCCAATTGGTTCGCAGATTTTAAATTGCACGGCTTAGCTCTAGATCAAATGGGTTTCGATTCGAGCTCATTTCGATTTATCATGTTGATTTAGATTTTGAATAGCACTTCCCTTCCAAGCAGGACTTCAATTAGAGTTTAAAATGAACTCTTATTTCAAGTCAGATGTCAAATCGGAATATATATATATAGGCACATGAGTTCAATTAGAGTTTGATTCAAACTCGTATTCTAATTATAATGTAAACAGATATTCCTCCAATTAGGAGCTCCATTCCGAAACTTAATTAGACATTAAACATAATTAAACTAGAATCCAATGAGGACAGAGAAGCTGGTTGTTTCTTCTGAGTAACGTCAACTCAATCAACTTAATATTTTAAGTAGGACAAGGATGGGCAAGCTGGTTGTTTCTTCCAGTTAGTTTAAGTATCTTACACACTTGATTGGATGTTTAAGAGGAATGAACTAGAGTTCATTATGAAAGTGATGGGACATAGGAGTTCCTTTGCAAGTAGGACTTTAAATAGAATTCAACTGGAAATGAAGTAGAAGCACAAAAGGAAAGACAAGCGGATAGTTTCGACAACGAGAACAGAATTAGACCAAGCACAGACACAGAAAACCCAAAAAGCGAGGAAAACCAACAAACAAATAGACTCGAGGAAAATCAACAGAACCCCGAAGAAAGCTCCGAGAAACCAAGAAAGCAAGATTCACATCCAAGAAACACGAAAACATGTTTCCAGAACTCTTTCAACATGAGCTGTGCAGCAAAGATGTCTAAATCATGTTTTTTCTTTCTTTTTGTTTCTCAATCTCCAACACACGCACACACACACAAACACACCGAGTTGTGTTTGTTCTTGCCTTTTTTGTTTTGTTTTTTCAAGATGTTCCCTCGGTATTTGTTGGATCAAGTGCAACTGAGATGGATGACTTAATGAGAAGACTGGAAGGCTTGAAAGGACACTACCAGGTCCCCCGTTCTGTTGAGGAGAGGGGTATGAACTGTGAGTCTCGGCCTGAAAGGCCAATGGCATGCGATTGCCCCATCACTTTTGGAGCTCAGAAAGCATTGAGGCCATGAAGGCGCCTTTTCTTGTGCGTGACATCATCGTCACCCGATTGCATATCGGTCCGAGGGGGCCCTTTGAGCAGAAGGAGAAGCCATGCGGCGCGTGGATTGTTTGGACTCACCGTACGGCAAGCAAGTAGCGCAGTCAGTAGGTAGCGGAGCAGAGCGGCAAGCTGCGGCGGGGCATTGCAGGTTGTGGTGTGGAACTGCTTGGTTGTTTGGTTTGTGATGGCAGCGCCAAATTTTGCCTGTTGCCTTGTTGGGCCCACTACCTCCGCCTGACCGGCGTGAATGTCTACTCGATGATCTGCAGGAAAGGCGGGCGGAGTCTGTAAGAGTGCAGATTTTCGACCTGAGGGGCTGACGCCCCAAAGCAGCATGATACGGGAGAGCGCTTGCGAATCAGCCACGGGCAGCCACCGTGGTTCCGGACGCAGAGTGGCCAGGAACTTGCAGCAGCCAGCGATTTCCCCCATCGGCGGCAGACCACCGAACAACCCCCGCGTGACGATGATGAAGAACAAGCCAAGTCCGAAGCCCTGACGAACGACCCATATGTTAACCCCTCATCAGATGGCTCTGGCGGGCGTAGGAAACACAGGCGTAGCAAGCGCGGCAGCTACAATCAAGTTAACGCAGCTCTTGAAAAGAGCTGATCATGACCAAGTTATGGCTGCTGCGCTTCAGAGCACCACAGGCCGCGAAGTTTCACGACATGATGTTTTGCTACAGCAGCTGTTGAAAGGGTTGAGAAAGGGTTGAGCGATGCGGTGAATAACAGGTCCAAACTGAAGGACTCGGATAAGGAGTCATGGAGTTCCAGAAAATCATCGCAGCCTGGCGTTAGATGCAGACCAGGTCAACCACCTCAGCCTCCACCTTGATGCGCGTGCTTTCAGCAAGTGGAAGCGCAAGGTTGGGATTTGCAGGTTTCTGCATATTTGCAGCGAGGCGGAACTTTTGCTGCACACATCGCTCAGTCGCTCACCCGAGAGGCCGAAGACGAGATTGAACGCATGGGCATGGCTCCAGTTGCCAGCAAGGAAGGTGAAGACCATTTCCTGAAAAGCTACATTTGGATGAATTGCACATCTGCAGCGGTGTGCCAACGAGACGTTGCGGGCTTGCGCAAGTAAATATCAACGCGCATGATCCTGGCAGAGACCACAGCCTTCACTTCCAGAGCATCAGCAGCCCGAGTGTTGAGGGCAAATGCTCTCTGACCTGTACACGTTCAACTCAGGAGTCATAACCATTAGCAGAGCTGGAGGTTCTGCGACCAGGGTCGACAAGGAGTTGCAACAGAGTGGTGCCAGAGGCCTTTTGTGCAGCTTCGTGCTGGGTCAAACAAAAAAGACAAGTGTGAGTTTCGGCCTGAAAGGCCAATGCCATGCGATTGCCCCATCACTTTTGGAGCTCAGAAAGCATTGAGGCCATGAAGGCGCCTTTTTTTGTGCGTGACATCATCGTCACCCGATTGCATATCGGTCCGAGGGGGCCCTTTGAGCAGAAGGAGAAGCCATGCGGCGCGTGGATTGTTTGGACTCACCGTACGGCAAGCAAGTAGCGCAGTCAGTAGGTAGCAGAGCAGAGCGGCAAGCTGCGGCGGGGCATTGCAGGTTGTGGTGTGGAACTGCTTGGTTGTTTGGTTTGTGATGGCAGCGCCAAATTTTGCCTGTTGCCTTGTTGGGCCCACTACCTCCGCCTGACCGGCGTGAATGTCTAATCGATGACCTGCAGGAAAGGCGGGCGGAGTCTGTAAGAGTGCAGATTTTCGACCTGAGGGGCTGACGCCCCAAAGCAGCATGATACGGGAGAGCGCTTGCGAATCAGCCACGGGCAGCCACCGTGGTTCCGGACGCAGAGTGGCCAGGAACTTGCAGCAGCCAGCGATTTCCCCCATCGGCGGCAGACCACCGAACAACCCCCGCGTGACGATGATGAAGAACAAGCCAAGTCCGAAGCCCTGACGAACGACCCATATGTTAACCCCTCATCAGATGGCTCTGGCGGGCGTAGGAAACACAGGCGTAGCAAGCGCGGCAGCTACAATCAAGTTAACGCAGCTCTTGAAAAGAGCTGATCATGACCAAGTTATGGCTGCTGCGCTTCAGAGCACCACAGGCCGCGAAGTTTCACGACATGATGTTTTGCTACAGCAGCTGTTGAAAGGGTTGAGAAAGGGTTGAGCGATGCGGTGAATAACAGGTCCAAACTGAAGGACTCGGATAAGGAGTCATGGAGTTCCAGAAAATCATCGCAGCCTGGCGTTAGATGCAGACCAGGTCAACCACCTCAGCCTC